TGTGTGTGTGTGTGTGTGTGTGAGTCTGTGCGCGCGCGCGCGCGCGTGTGTGTATGTGTGCCTCTCTTCTAACAAAGGGTAGGCTATAATATTATTATTGTTATATTATGCAGACTGATAAACATCTGATTTGGACATAATTATATCTTCATCTTCTTTTTAGCATACTAGCCCTCCCCTCCTCCCCTTGAAGGGCTGCTCGTTTCATCGCCATGTGTCTACTTATTCAGAGATGTCCTGATTTCACTTTGGCCACGTAGGCCAAGTGGTCAGCCGCTGGGATTCTCGACCGTCAGGTCATGGGTTCGAATCTCGTCAGGGGCTCGGCGTTGTGTCTTCGAGGGGAAACTTTACACTCATGTTCCTCCCCCCCCCCCCCCCAGGTGGGAATGGGTACCTGTCCATGGACAGTGAAAGGTCTTATACTATCACAGTGTATTATCATGGTGTTTCAGCACTTATTTAGCATCTGCGTTTGTTGCCATTTCTGGTCCCAAAGTGCCATAACAAAGCCAAAAGTTGCCATAAAAGGTGCCAGTAATTTTCCAGCTTTCAACTGTCTGTGGCGACGTATATATAGCAATATGTAGATAGAGGTAACTTCATCTAAACCACCAGAATTTCTTGTGCTGAATCCAGAAGATCATGTGTAGCCACACAGAGTGTCAAAACGTGAACAATAAAGGTTTCACAACAGAATCAAATCAAAATTAGAACAGCACACAAACAACCACAGAATTTCACCAACAAGTGCGCGTGTCCACCTGTCCGAAGATTGGCCGTTTTAACCCTGAACGTGTGTTATTCAAGAAAAGGTAGGTCTACATGATATTACATGTAAATTATAAAATCACTCACAATAAAGGGGCCTGCCAGTGTCAGTATTCGGTTTTGGTGGAGACACGCTTTAACATAACACATTTATGTATAAAAAAGTTGGGAACAACATCAAATTAAATAAGTAATAACATTACGCTATATTTTTTTTTAAATAGTAAAAGAACACATTAGAAAAATAACAAGAAAAAAAATTAACTCACAAACAAATTAAAACCAACAAAGAAGGAAAAAGACAAGAGAAACAGCAAAAGATATACACATGTAGTATGTCATGTATTTCTATTCCTCAAGTCAAAAAGAACCAATCAACGTGCCGGTGTCAACAAGTGAGAAAGAGACGAAGGGAAGTGGGAGTGAAAACAAGCTTTCTCTCTAAGAGTAAAGAGTCAAGACGTTCGCTTTCTTTTGCTTTTCTTTGTTTTTGTTTTTTCAAATTCGCAGGAAGTGGTTTTGTTTTTAGGTGGGGTTTTTGTTTTTTTTTCGAAAAATGCAAGAAATCGCTGCCGTGATTCACGGACGAAAAAATGCCCAAAAATCGCGGCCGCGACAAACGCAGACGTTCGACTTGATCTTTTCACGGGGTTTTATGCACCCCGCATAATTTAGCAAAATTTGATCTTTTTTTGTGTGCGTTTAATTTCTGATTATTTTCCGAATTCTTTGTTAAAATGAGCAGAATCGCATAATTTCGCATTTTGGGGCTCAATTTGCATTTTTTTTTTTGGGGGGGGGGGGCATAAAACCGCGGGGACAGGTGTATAGACTACTGACTATAGACAGCGAAAGGTCTTCTGTTATCATCATCTGTACGTTGTATATTGCTGTTTCACCGCTTATTCCGCTACTTGAGCTGGCACAGTATCATGTTTGTGAACTGTCCCTCGTGTTGTTTGTGAACTGTCCCTCGTGTTGTTTGTGAACTGTCCCTCGTGTTGTTTGTGAACTGTCCCTCGTGTTGTTTGAGAACTGTCCCTCGTGTTGTTTGAGAACTGTCCTGAATGACTACATTCCATGTTGTATCTCGTTTCTCACCCCGTCTCTTCTGACTTGTGACGTTCAAGTTCCAAGTTGTGTCCGGTTTATCAGACAGTTGACAGGGACACTGTGAGGGACGGACGTGAAGCGGACAGTGAGTGGCCTCCTGTTGATGACGTCAGCACGCACGGTGGGACTTCCTACATCACTTTTTGTACTATGTAGGCTACCCCCCCCCCCACCTTCATGTAGGTTGGTGTGTGTGTGTGTCTGAGTGTGTGTGTGTGTGTGTGTGTGTGTATGTTTGTGTGCCCGTGACTGTGTGTTTTAGATTTTGTAAGTGTTTTTTTTTGTTTTAGTAAGGTTCGTTTTTGTTTTAGTAGAGGTTTTACGGCGCTCGCAACTGCATACGGTCAAATAAGCGTCAAGGGGTGGATGTCAACAGAGAAGTCCAAACGGGGAAGCAGGATTACTCTGCTCACCTCTCTAGCTTCAACAGCACAAAGTCTGCTTCGACTATCAAGGCACCCCGGAAATAGCGGTTCACAAGAGAGTGACAAACATACAAAAAAAGTAGAGGAGAATGACGATAGTAAGGATAAGGAAAGAAAAGGCAGCTGTTCCCTTGCCACAGTTAGGTCATATAAATGCCGAAGATTAGAGATGTCAGAAGAGAGTAACAAACAAAAAAGGAGAGATTAGGATGATATTTGGTCATTTTTAAGCACAAGGGGGCTATCCCGAAAAAGAGCTGTTTTGAGAAAATCGAAGGTAAACTTTTTGCCCCTTGTTCAGTTTCTCTGAAAGGAGAGTTGTATCTATAACCAAACAAATATATAAATACAAATGAAACCAAATTTCTATAGGTAGGCCAACGCCCACTTTTGGTGCAGGTCAAGATTTGTAGAAACCCCTGAAATCTGGGTTAGCCCACTTGCCCTTAAAAACGACCATATTTGTTAGATAGGAAAGACGAAGCAAACCAAACCAGACCATCCGCCAACCACCCATCTGTGTGTGCACGTGTATGTATGTATGTATGTATGTGTGTGTGTGTGTGTGTGTGTATTCTTTCCTCCAAGAGTATTATCCCCAATTTATCTAAAGTAAAATTCTCTGATGTGCTGCATCAATTTATGTTTGCCTAGTCATATTGTGTTATAATGTAGTAATGAGCGGATGTATGGACCAAAGGCCATTGAAAGGAATAAAATCATCTCGAAAATGTAAGACGCCATCATATGTATACCCCGAGTGGTCAACTCTTTCAGGACACGCACGCACTGGCGTCTGTGGTGTAGTGCTTAGGTGCTTCGCTGTCGTAGTCAGGAGGGCCAAGTTTGAATCCCAAGTTGGGAGAATCTTTCACTGAGTACGTTGTACATGTATGCCTTTTCCGCCCAGGCCAGCCCCAATAGGACAGGTAGTGTCAGGAGTTGACCGAAGCCTGCCTCCTTTCTTCACGACCTAAATTGTGTCAATGGGGGCTTAAAAACGCCTACATTGATTTTTTTAAAACTAAGGAAGCACACTCTGGACATTCAAGAACGCCTGAGGACACGCTGTGGTAGGGACTTTTCAGTCTTTTTAGTTTTAGTAGAGGTTTTACGGCGCTCGCAACTGCATAAGGTCATATGAGCGCCAGAAGATTAGAGGTGTTACAAGAGAGTAACAAACATAAAAAAGAAGAAGGGAAGATAAGGACGATAGATGTTTGATAGGAAAGAAGAAGCAAACCACACCAGAGCACCCGCCAACCACCCACATATACTACTATGAAACAGAAGACAAAGTCATGTACTATGAAACAAGACAAAGTCATGTACTATGAAACAAGACAAAGTCATGTACTATGAAACAAGACAAAGTCATGTTTTCTGATATACACCGTAGAGTTGAGGGGAAAAGCTAAACAGACAAACACAAGGGGACATCACCACTCACAAGCCAGAGAGAGAAGAAAAGACAGACACAAGGGGACATCACCACTCACAAGCCAGACAGAGAAGAAAAGACAGACACAAGGGGACATCACCACTCACAAGCCAGACAGAGAAGAAAAGACAGACACAAGGGGACATCACCACTCACAAGCCAGACAGAGAAGAAAAGACAGACACAAGGGGATATCACCACTCACAAGCCAGACAGAGAAGAAAAGACAGACACAAGGGGACATCACCACTCACAAGCCAGACAGAGAAGAAAAGACAAACAATTGACAAAACCGTTATTGGTTGAGTTTCCTCATTCATCAATTCTGTCACATCCTGATGTGTAGTGATTTATTTACACATGACCAAGAGATTTGTACAATGACTCCTTACATGAAGGAACACATTCAAGTAAAACACACGACTCAAGTCAAACACATTGACATCTTTAAAACAACATTTTCAAACGATGAAAACAAAAATTAAAAATCTCACGTTTCTTGCCCAGCAGGCAGCAAGAGTTGTGATATTTTCTCACGAAACGTCCTCGACTGACAAGTAGTATTGTCAGTTTTAGTCCCACTTCCAATACTTTGCCCCCACGCTGGGACACCGATCGGCGACGGTGTGATATAGCGGCAAAAACGTTGCAGCAATGATCTCTTTTAGACATACGCACTTGTTAAAGTTAAATTTCCTTTCTGAATGGTTTGTGAGGCCTTTGAGATCAAAAAGTAGTTTGTATACAAGAATTGGAGTCAGTTTTTTTAAATGCTGAAAATGTCAAAATGGTTGTTGTATTTTTGCCGAGGTACAGGTGTAGTACTGATGTAGCGCATCTGTATCCTGGTCTGTGGGGACAAGTGTCGTGTGCTGCGCGCGCTGCGGGAGTGGAAAGTGTCAAGAGCTTGGGTATTTCATGAAAATTCACCCGATCTCACCCCGTTTTCTCCGGCTTCAACCCACGAGATATTCTGACTCACTTAATCCGGCCCGCAACTTTGACATGCTTGGCGGCAATGCCTGACGTAGAGAAAATAACGCAGGTCTCAAAACCCAAGCTACCCCCCCCACTTCGCAACCTGTGTGAATGAATTAAAATAATCCAAGATTAAGTGCGAGTATGATGATCAACTAAGGAACTCTGCTGCCTTTGTTCGTTCGTCTGACAAAATGTGGTGAGAAATTATATCGTAATCCCCCCCCCCCCCCCCCCCCCCCCTGGAAATTACGATTGTCACTAACTCAAGCCTCAAGCACCAGCCGACATCCCACACACGACCGCCCCACAGGGAAAAGTCTTTCGAGACAATCAATACATAAAAAATGTAGAAAACGACAATAATAATAAAAAAAATAATAATAACAATAACAATAATTTATCCGTCAGTGTGTGACAGTGGCCGATGCATCGACAGAGGAGACAACTCCGCACGGGACAACAAAGACGAAGCAAAGGTGGAGATGACGTGTGGCGTCTGCCGCGGCCGATGAGACCAACTGAACTCTGGCACACAAAACATCCAGCTGGACAGGAACCAAAAGCAAAGAAACGGCCAAACACACGACTACTTCAACATGACTCAAACGTGGTAACTAACACACGACTACTTCAACAAGACTCAAACGTGGTAACTAACACACGACTACTTCAACAAGACTCAAACGTGGTAACTAACACACGACTACTTCAACATGACTCAAACGTGGTAACTAACACACGACTACTTCAACAAGACTCAAACGTGGTAACTAACACACGACTACTTCAACAAGACTCAAACGTGGTAACTAACACACGACTACTTCAACATGACTCAAACGTGGTAACTAACACACGACTACTTCAACAAGACTCAAACGTGGTAACTAACACACGACTACTTCAACAAGACTCAAACGTGGTAACTAACACCCACCCAACATGTGAACACAACAGATCTGCCAATCACTCTCTCACCAAAAATACCAGCTTTCCTCAAAATACAACCTAAAAAATTGGAGTTTGGAAAAGAAAAAAAATCAATCTCCAGAACCCCAAAAGTTTAAGTTTACGGAATGGCAAATAACAGGTATTGCAAATGTACGCAAATACAAACATGTGTATTTGTTCATGTCATTAGCAACAAGTCACACAAATATTGCAAATACACACCCCCCCCCCCTCCCCATTATCCAAATGTATTTTCACGTTGTTAGAGACAAGTTGTGCAAAAATTGCAAACAAACGTAATTTTAAAAAATTGTGAATCTTCATGTCACTTATGATTTTTTGGGGCAAATCCTATTGGGGTTTTTTGAACGGTTGAAAAACAATCCCCCCAAAACCAGAGAGCTCCAATTTTATCTAAGTACTTAGCACGCCCAGCTCTCACACAACTGTCAATTTCACACACACAGGCGCACACACACAAACACACAGAACCCTTTCTTCCTTTCTAGGTGCTCTCTCCATCCATGTCTTCCTCCATCTCCTCCTCCTGTCCTTCCTTCTTCTCGGCAGGTTTCTCGTAGGCCTTGTCCGACGGCGTGACAACAACACCCTCCCACACGCTCATCTCTGTGGCGATACCTGGGGGGACAGATAGACAGACAAATAGTTACACACTGAGGGAACACGACACGATGATAGTTAGTCTTTGTAGAGGTTTTACGGCGCTCGCAACTGCATACGGTCATATGAGCGCCAGATGATTAGAGGTGTTACAAGAGAGTAACAAACGTAAAAAAGAGGAAGGGGATATAAGAACGATAGATGTTTGATAGTAAAGAAGGAGCAAACCACACCAGAGCACCCGCCAACCACCCAGGATAATAGTCACATTCTGCTTGAGGGACAGGTAGACCGGTAGACAGAATGAACAAAGGAGGAATAGACAGTTTAGTTTCAGTTAGATTTTTACGGCACTTGCAACACAATAAGGTAATTTAAGTGCAGAAGATTAGAGGTGTTACAAGAGAGTAACAACACTGTACAAAGAAAAAGGAGGGGAGATCAAGACGATAGATGTTTGATAGGAAATAAGGAGCAAAGCACACCAGAGCACCCGCCAACCACCCACATGTGTATGTGCGTTAAAGTGTGTGTGGGTGTGTTTATATATAATATGTGTCTGTGTGTGCCAGTGTGTGCGTGTGTTTTATGTGTGTGAGTGTGTGTATGTGTATGTTTATAAATGTGTGTGTGTGTGTGTGTGTGTGTTTATGTGTATGTTTATAAATGTGTGTGTGTGTGTATGTGTGTGTTTATATATATGTGTGTGTGTGTGTGTGTGTTTATATATATGTGTGTGTGTGTGTGGGTGTGTCTGTGTGTGTGTGTATATGGAGAGGGGGGGGGGGGTAGTGGACTAAGAGAGACAAAAATAACATCAAAGTTTGTGACCAGGAGCTGCCTTGGGGGAGAGACAGAAAACATTTTCTTACAACTCCGTAAGTGGGGCAATGAATTCACAATGAAACCAAAACCCTCAGTTCCAACCCACGGCTAAACGCAACAACAGCAACAGGAAACACTGTCAGCGCAAAGTATACAGAAAGCGGATTCCACTCCCTACGTCTGCCTGCCCCAAAAACCAAAGCTTCATTGTCTTCCCCGGTCATTCATTCACGCGTGGAAAAAACTTGGCGCAAGTTCCAACAAGTCCCGTTCGGGATCGGGGAAAATGCATTAACCCTTCGACCACCGCATCCGGCCAGACTCGGTTTTGTTGAGATTACCAGAGATAAGCTCTGGCACTGGGAATACAACAGCGCGTCATGGTGACATCATACGAAGCAGATGGGGGGTGGGGGGTTAAGTCGCATACTGGGACTGGACAAGGAGAAGAAAACAGAACTGAAACAAAGAAAGAACGCTGCGATCACTTTGTACAAGACAGAGAGTCTACAAATACAACAGCTACAAGAAATGCCTTCGGGAAACCCCACACACACACACAGATCAAAAGGTCAAATGCGGTGCAATGCGGTCGATGTAAAAGCAAAATCTATATTTTAACCCCCCCCCCCCTCCCCCAAAAAAAAACCCATTAAAAAAACAAAAGATCCGTGACCTGTCAATCACTTGAGCAAAACCACAGAGAGAGAGAGAGAGAGAGAGAGAGAGAGAGAGAGAGAGAGAGAGAGAGAGAGAGAGAGAGAGAGAGAGAGAGAAAGAGAGAGAGAAAGAAAGAAAGAGAGAGAGAGAGAGAGAAAGAGAGAGAGAAAGAAAGAAAGAGAGAGAGAGAAAGAGAAAGAGAGAGAGAGAGAGAGAGAGAGAGAGAGAGAGAGAGAGAGAAAGAAAGAGAGAGAAGAAACAAAGATTAAAAAAAGAGAGAGAGAGCAAATGCGCATTCTTTTCCAACACAAAACAAACCACACACAAAAAAACAATCCATTCAACAACGACCACACCGACCTCACAACTGCACACAATTTTCCTGGAAAATATTCCAATGTAAGGTTTCATGGACAAAGCCAGCGTTCACCAACGTTCACCACTTGACTTGTTTTTTTCAATCACCTCTGTTTTCCCTGGAAATCTGGCTGACCTCATGAGTCATTAGTGCTTGCACAGCCTCTACTCTCAATTAGCTGTGTTTACAAGCTCAATATTATGTTTGGTTTCGCTCAGTCGCATACGCCAAAGAGTTTTGTTTTAGTTTTAATAAGTGGTTTAAGGCACTTATATACACAATTAGGTCAGATAAGTGCTGAAGATTTAGTTTTAGTCTCAGTAAGAGTTTTATGGCACTTGCAACACAATAAGGTCAAATAAGTGCTGAAGAATGGATGAGTTACAAGAGAGTAACATACAGAAAAAAAAGGAGGAGGAGAGATAAAGACGATAGATGTTTGATAGGAAAGAAGGAGCAAACCACACTAGAGCACCCGCCAACCACCCACGATTGTACCTTTGAGGGTGTGGAAGACTAGGTTTGGGAGTGGCAAGCAGATGTTAGAAACTGAAAAGAGCCTGCAAAAGGAAACAGTCTACTATTACTATTAGAGAATATAAGAGAAACCTGACCTAGAAATAATAACACTGAAAGTTTGCTTTCAACAGATATCTTTTTTTTTTTCAAAGGAAAGTAAAAATATTTGTGCAATTTAAAACAAACACAAAAAAACAAACAAACAAGGCAATTAATGAGAGGGCACTTTTTCATCTGAGAAAAAGGAATCTCTCCCCCAGGAGTCAGATCTCTATCTTCAATCCCTGGTGACTTTTGTTCACATGTCAGAGGGTGCACTCACATGATCTCATTCCTGGACTAAGTCGACAAAAATTGTGAACAATGTTTCTATCGCAGTTTCTGAATCTGTAATGTCCATTGCAAGAGCCTTATAAATACTTCATTGCGCCGTAAAACCCTATACTAAACAAACAAAACAAAAAACTTCATTGAAACTCAAATTAAAAGTTGAAAAAAACAACAACAACAACAAAGCAAGAAAAACAAAATGATGCAATTGTCAAAAGAAACAAAGTTGTTTTTCTCTGATACATATATGTAACAATTTAGCTTTCTGAGCTGTGTACATTTAAACAGCTTGCTGCTGATGTTATGCAGTTGAAATCGCTGTAAAAATGTTACCAAACTAACCCATTCCAGAGTAAATCTTTCTTAGCACAAACCCAATGTCACAGCTGCCTTATCTCCCCACCGAGTCACTCAACCCTCATTGAAGATTTCAGTGATAAAGCACGGTCTACGAGTACACAACCGTCAACTGTAGATAAGGCATTGTGAACATGTGAACCCTGGGCACCCGGGACAAGGACACAGCTCTATCTGGGACTCTGGAGCGGAGGAGTTAGTTTTAGTTTTAGAAGAGGTTTTATGATGCTCGCAACTGCATAAGGTCATATGAGCACCAGAAGATTAGAGGTGTTACAAGAGAGTAACAAACACAAAAAAGAAGGAGGGGAGATAAAGATGATAGATTATGTATTTTTGATAGGAAAGAAGGAGCAAACCACACCATAGCATCTGCCAACCACCCACCGGGGGGAGGGGGGATATGTGTGTGTGTGGGGGGTGTCAAAATCTTCAGTTGTCGAAAGGAAGCGAAGCATGCCAACATGTCTGGCGTCTGTGGTGTAGTGGTTAGGGCCTTCATCTTCGCACACAGGAGACCTAAGTTTGATTCCCAAGTGGGGAGAATGTTTGTTTAATTATCTCGATCTGGGACGTTGTATCCCTCTCAGCCTGGGCTGGCCCTGACAGGTGGGGTCGGAGGCCCGCCGTAAAAAAAAGATCTAAATGGTGGCTATCGGTGCATAAAAAACTACCTACATTTGACAAATAAACTCACACACACACACACATAGACAGACACACACACACACATAGACAGACACACACACACATAGACAGACAGACACACACACACACAAAGACAGACACACACACACACACACATAGACAGACAGACACACACAAGGAGCAACACACACACACACATAGACAGACAGACACACACAAGGAGCAACACACACACACACACACAAACACACAGACAGGCATACACAACGAGAGACAGACAGACACAAGGAGCAACATACACACACACACACATAGACAGACAGACACACACAAGGAGCAACACACACACACACACAGACAGGCATACACAACGAGAGACAGACAGACAGACACAAGGAGCAACACACACACACACACAAACACACAGACAGGCATACACAACGAGAGACAGACAGACACAAGGAGCAACATACACACACACACACAGACAGACAGACAGACAGACACAAGGAGCAACATACACACACACACACACACACAGACTCACTGGTGTTTCCCTCCATGCCCAGGATCTGCTTGTACAAACACACACACACACACACACAGACACACAGACTCACTGGCGTTTCCCTCCATGCCCAGGATCTGCTTGTACAAACACACACACACACAGACTTACTGGCGTTTCCCTCCATGCCCAGGATCTGTTTGTACCCGCCATGGCTGAGGACTCGCAGCAACGTCTGGGCCGTGAAGCACACCTGGTCCTGGGGGAGGGGAGGGGGGAGGGAACGAGGACACACAGGGGAAAGATAAACCATTAATGAATGAAGACTTCGCACACAATGTCACTGGGACTGTGGGGAGGAGCGACTAAAAGTGCCTTTGTACATTTGTCTAAATTAAGAGTGGAGTCTGCGTGTTTCTCTTTACTCACACAAACAAACAAACAGACAGACGTACCTGCTGCTCCAGAGTCATGACGGTGTGGACGCGTATCGTGCCCTGCTCGCACGGGTCGGTGATGCCCACCGAGCCCGGCAGGAAGAAGCCGGCCGCCAACATCTGGACACCCCGCCTGGAGATGAGAAAACAAGCTCACACATTTCTCCCCCGATTTAATAATAATAATGTAGACCGTCTCTATAGCACCCACTCCCGTGTGAACACAGCTCTAGGCGCTTTACATTAATGAAGGTAAAAACAATATTCACATATGCACAGACACACACATGCACACATTACAGGCACACGCACACACACTCACACACACATTACACACACTCATGCACACATTACACGCATCTACTTGCTTATCACACACACACACCTTGTCACGAAATGAGCACAAACAAATACATAATAAAATAATATACACAATACAATTCGCATCTTGGGAACCAATGTTTATTTTCATGTCATTTACGAGTGAGTCCTGAAAATATTGCAAATACGCCTGTTTAGCCAAAAATTTTGACTTTTTTTTTTAGAATTGCAGTTTTATAATCTGAGGTATTGGTTGCATGTGCTCAAGGAATACTTTGTCAAAATTCAAATTCTAAACATTGAAAAAAGTCAGAAAAGACAAAATGCAGGTACATTTGTCAAAAGAATTGAAACAGCTTTTTTCTCTCTCCTGTAAAATATATTTCAGTTTCTGGACTTAGGACATTTGAACAGCTTGCAACATGCACAGCTTATACACTGGAACCTGCTCCAACTGCCGGACCTGTACAAGACAATCAGCAGTACAAACTGCCAAACTTGTCCTAGTTTTGGTAAGAGTTTTATGGCACTTGCAACACAATAAAGTCACATAAGTGCAGTAGATTAGAAGTGTTATAAGAGAGTAACAAACACAAAAAAAGAGAAGAGATAAGGACGTTAGATGTTTGATGGGAAAGAAGGAGCAAACCACAGCAGAGCACCCGCTAACCACCCACATAGCCCATTTTCTCCCCGATGAGTGGCCATATGTAGCAGAAAGGTTTCACTCACTTGAAGGCCTGGTTGATGGGCAAAGGCTGTCTGGAAGGGTTGTTGACCACCGCGAAATGTGCCTGGGAGAAAGACATGTCGGGAATTGAAAACTTCTCCGCTACAGTTGTGTAGACATTGTTGACAACTTTTTTTTGAAAACCAATAACCAGACTCTACCCACGCAGCGAGTCAAGATGGAGGACACTGGCTAAGAAACCCCCCTCCATACCATTTTCACACACACACATAGACACACAGACACACTCACACACACATAGACACACAGCGAGTCAAGATGGAGGACACTGGCCTAGTTACTCCCCTTCATACCATTTTCACACACACACATAGACACACTCACACACACATAGACACACACACTCACACGATTACACACACACATACTCACACAGACAGACTCTAACACAATAAACTCTAGGTACTCAAAGTAGGCCTCCAGTAAAAGATCTCTACAGTCGACTTATCGGCTTCGTTTTCATAATTCGTCAATCTGATCTCCAAAGTTCCCAATTCCTCCCCAACAATCGACAAGTCCATGAGCAGCAGCACTAGAAAACAGGAAATACCTTGTAAATTTTCTGATACAATAAAAACGAGACTTCCGTACCCGGACGGTCAAAGACATATGTATTGCATTGAAGTGAAATCAGGCATTCCTCAAAATAATGTAATCACGTAATCCAAGAAACTGACATTTTTCCACGCGTTATGCAATTTGTTTTTATTTTTGTTGTTTGTTTTTTTTTGGTGGTAGACTGCCACCTCTGTGCTTTCATATCCTATCTCCATTTTTCATAACAGTGAAGACAGTTCATAACAAAGAATGAGCTTAACACTTTGCCATCATATTTTGGGGAAAGTCTAAAGAAACGGTGGTAAACATCGCCAATCGGTGAGATGAGACGGCAAAGTGTTAAGAAGAAGTCACATTTTCAATTTTTAAAAAATAGAGATAGGACAAGAAAGCACAGCGGTCACGAGACGACAACGTCCTACCAGCAAGTCAATGATCCAGGGGGTGAGGGGAGACAATCCCTCGAATCTGTTCTTGAGGTCGCGTAGGAGTCGGATGAGCACTTTGACACTCGAGTGCTGGCCGTTTTCCTCAAACCAGCGAGCGTGACGTATGGCAGCCAGGCGACCGTTCATCAACTTGCCGTCCACTGGAACAGAAAACATAGCAGCTAACTTTAAAAAAAAAAAAAGCCCCAAAAAACAAACCCACAACACCCTACCCACTCTGCGCGTCGAGATGAGGATTTCAGGTTGAGAAAGGATAAGCACATCGACACAATAACAGTCATTTAGTGCTGGGAAAAAGTAAGACGGACAGACAGAAACAACAGAGGGGAAAGTTAAAAAAGTAGGACCTACCAGTGGTGCTCCCTAACCACCCACAGCAGGCAAGAAGAATGACAGACAGAAACAAACACAGGGAAAAAGAAGAATGACAGACAGAAACAAACACAAGGAAAGAAGAATGACAGACAGAAACAAACACAAGGAAAGAAGAATGACAGACAGAAACAAACACAAGGAAAAAGAAGAATGACAGACAGAAACAAAGATAGGGAAAGAAAAGAAGAATGACAGACAGAAACAAACACAAGGAAAGAAGAATGACAGACAGAAACAAACACAAGGAAAGAAGAATGACAGACAGAAACAAAAACAAGGAAAAAGAAGAAGGACAGACAGAAACAAAAACAAGAAAAGAAGAATGACAGACAGAAACAAACAAGAGAAAAGAAGAAGGACAGACAGAAACAAACACAAGGAAAAAGAAGAAGGACAGACAAAAACAAAAACAAGAAAAGAAGAATGACAGACAGAAACAAAAACAAGAAAAGAAGAATGACAGACAGAAACAAACACAGGGAAAAAGAAGAAGGACAGACAGAAACAAACACACGGAAAGAAAAGAAGGACCCACCAGCAGCCCCCTCCAACCACCCACAGCAAAAAGGTAACACCAGTTTGTTAGAGTAAAGAGAAGCACATCGACAACAATAATGGTCATTACTGCTGGGGAAAAAGCAAAACACAGAGAGAGAGACTAACATAGGCAACGAAAGAAGCAGAACCTACCAGTGGCACCCTCCCACCACCGGCAAACGCCAGTAATAGAAGAGCACTTATTGCCAATTCTATTGTGACAGTTCAAAGCTGGTGAAATTTTGATAATGACTATTTCTTATTTCCATTTTCTTGTTCAAAGCTTATGATTTGTGATAACTACTTACAATATTAATACAAAGATCACTATCCTGGTGGCTCTAGGAGCTTTACAATAAAATAAAATTTATATAAACGTTTCTATGCATACTGGCCTATTCAACGTACTACAGTCCTTTCAAATACGTGCACACCCGTAATCTGACAAAACAACACATATACAAAAAGCCAGTCACTGACACTACTGATCACACTTGCTGTTGAAAGAAGAATCAAAATATGGAAATAAATTCCGATTCTTAAAATAAAGGAAGAAAATATTTCCGCGGCAGCTCGCGGCCAGCGATAAACCAACTCACGATGCAGTTCCGGGTCCAGCTTCTTCAGGTTGGGGGGGATGGTGGTGATGAGGCACTGGACCGTGGCGTCCCCGCTGTTGATCTCAAAGCCAGACTCGTTGGGCAGCATCGTCAGCACTGCCAGGGGAAGAGAGAGAGAGATAAAAATACAGTGGAGCCTGCTTAAACCCAATGCAATTAATCCACAAACAAGAGGTAAATCGAAAAAGGAAAGAAAATTCCTGCTGTTAGTCTCAAAGGCCGACATTAAGCAGCATCATCAGGACTGCCGGGGGAAGAGAGAGAGAGATAAAAATACAGTGGAGCCTGCTTAAACCCAATGCAATTAATCCACAAACAAGAGGTAAATCGAAAAAGGAAAGAAAATTCCTGCTGTTAGTCTCAAAGGCCGACATTAAGCAGCATCGTCAGGACTGCCGGGGGAAGAGAGAGAGAGATAAAAATACAGTGGAGCCTGCTTAAACCCAATGCAATTAATCCACAAACAAGAGGTAAATCGAAAAAGGAAAGAAAATTCCTGTGGTTAGTCTCAAAGGCCGACATTAAGCGGCATCGTCAAGACTGCCACTGAGAGAGAAATATACAGTGGAGTCTGCTTAAACCTAACACAGTTAATCCACAACAAAATCCCAACTGCTTAAACCCAATATGCTTAATCCACAACAAAATCCAAACTGCAAAAACCCAACATTGTTAATCCACAGGCCTGACAATGAGCAGCATCATCAGGACTGCCACCCAAGGGGAAATCAGTTAGAGTTTATAGTTTGGGGGTCGGGCATAAAACACGTTCAGTTCATCAAACTCTGTGATAAACACTCATCTAAAATAGACTGACCTGTCTTTGGAGTATTTTGTGCCATTCTCTTCCTGGGAGGGACTGCCTCTGAAACAAAAACAATAACAAAATTCATTAACACAGAAAAACTTAAAACACAGGATTTTATAGTACAGAAAGTTAGCAGTTCTAACAGTAAACTAGTTCTTCAGATATTTCAGTGATTAAACACATTCCATGGCCGCAATAATAAAAAAGGCAAATTTGCTGACATAATCGACAAAATAGTTCTCGAGCCCCTGCAACCTATATTACATTTTAAGAAACTGCAATAAAACATTTTCTTTTCCAAAACTTTGGGATCCATACATCTGACTAGCAGGCTGATGACCCGTAAACAACTGGACACAGCGGGTTCAGGCGGGTAACGAAGTGACAGAACTGGACACAGCTGGTTTTGGATGTGTAAACAACTGAAAGAACTGGACACAGCTGGTTTTGGATGTGTAAACAACTGGACCAACCTTCCTGTGGCTCCTGAGACTTGAGCTCCTCCGCGACTTTGTTCCCCAGGGCTGTCACGGCCTCCTCTAGGGGGGGGAAAAATCACAGGTTGGAAGATGGAAAGAGAAAAACATTTTTTTTAAAGTTTCAATAAGAGTTTTACAGCACCTGCAACACAAGTAGGTCATTTAAGTGCTGAAGATTAAAGAGTTTTAGTTTAGTTTTAGTAGAGATTTTAAGGCGCTCGCAACTGCATAAGGTCATATGAGCGCCAGAAGATTAGAGGTGTTACAAGAGAGTAACAAACACAAAAAAGAAGTAGGGGAGATAAGGACAATAGATGTTTGATAGGAAAGAAGAAGCAAGCCACACCAGAGCACCCGCCAACCACCCACTGCAAGAGAGTAACATGCAAAGACAGAAAAAGAGATATACAGGGACAATACGTATTTCATGGGAAAGAAGGAGTAAACCACACAAGAGGATCCACCATCCATCCACAATGAAAGGTTTCAACAAGAGGATCCACCATCCATCCACAATGAAAGGTTTCAACAAGAGGATCCACCATCCATCCACAATGAAAGGTTTCAACAAGAGGATCCACCATCCATCCACAATGAAAGGTTTCAACAAGAGGATCCACCATCCATCCACAATGAAAGGTTTCAACAAGAGGATCCACCATCCATCCACAATGAAAGGTTTCAAACGTGTCAATAGTAGAGAGTAACATATGTGAGGCGTACTGACAAAATGAGTTACTTCTCGCAATCCACAAAAGGAGATATTGGCCAAAAATCGACATGAGGGTCAAATGTGTAGATTTTCTATCGATGCCATATTCTTTAGTTATAACATGCCTTTTATTATTTCATACTTATAAATTGTAAAAGCTTCACCTATAAGCATGATGGCGCAAATCTGAGAAGAAACTCAGTTTGTCAGCATACTTCACATATAAAGAAAAGGATGAGAGAAAAGGACAATAAAGACTGATAGGAAAAAAGGAGCAAACTAAATCAGAGCCCCTGCCCACCACCTTGAAGAAAAATAGAGACACACAGATATATATATATATATATATATATATATATGAGAGAGAGAGAGAGAGAGAGAGAGAGAGAGAGAATTAACACCCAAATTAAAAAATATAACGAGTGTCATAAGACAACAATAATAAAGATCCTTGTGGGCTTCTCTCTTGGCTTCAGCATTACTAATAAGTTCGTGAAGCCTCATATGATTTGTTGCTGCCCACTGTGACTGCTGCTTTCCGAGAACAAGAACCTTGATCGCAACCATACATTTTCCTAAAAAGCAAAAGCAATCTTATACAGCAATTAAAGATAAACCATTGCATCTTGATGTTCAGAAATGTAACTTTCGGAGAAAAACAAGGGTTTTTTTGGTAAGGATAGAAACGTGGCACGACAGAACATTACGTCTCTCAACATGACAAAAACTACAGCAATTTCGCTCTCACTCGTCGGCAAAGTTTTGAACATGACGACAATGTCTGCGATGTTGTGGCCAGCCATCATGGTGCCTTTCTTGAAAGAGCCAACCTGGCGCACTTCTTCCAGCGTCTACGGAAAGAAAGATACAACAAATTAATTTTTTACCGAAAAATACCACAAACCTTTTTTATTATCCGAAAAATACAAACTTTTCTATTACCCGAGAGGTACAAACACTTTTGTTTTTACTTCATTCCAATCACTTTTTCCAACACAATATGCATGCATATAGATATCAATGTACAATAGAGCAATTCACATGACCCAAGGTCACGAATACGTGAAGCGTGCTGTCTAATGAGTTACTTCTTGGTTTGTTTGGGGTTTTTTGCTTGCTTTTGTCTTTCAACATAGATTTATATAATAGAATTAGAATTTTGACAAAATATTTCTTGAGCCCATGCAACCAATACCATAATAGATTAAGAAACTGCGATCTTAAAAAAATATTCATAATTTTCAACATAGTACATTTGAACAGCTAGGTAACGACATGCAACTGTTGTAGAATCTACTCACAGCAGCCTCAAATCCGGCAGGAGCGATGACCAGATTGTCCAGGATTCCCTGGACTTTGGTGACCAGCGACAGGATGGACGCCTGCTCGGCGGAGGACGGGGTCAGGTCAGTGTGTCGCTTCAGCAGAGCCTTGTAATAGTTAGAGAACATGATCTGTCATTAGGCTGGGAAGTGGCAGCGCTGAACGGACCACAGAGGGGGGGAACGTTAAGGAGGGCTTGCCTTTGACTCCACCCACATCGTTATCTCATGGACTCCACCCACAGCGTTGTCTCATGGACTCCACCCACAGCGTTGTCTCATGGACTCCACCCACATCGTTATCTCATGGACTCCACCCACAGCGTTGTCTCATGGACTCCACCCACATCGTTATCTCATGGACTCCACCCACAGCGTTGTCTCATGGACTCCACCCACATCGTTATCTCATGGACTCCACCCACAGCGTTGTCTCATGGACTCCACCCACAGCGTTGTCTCATGGACTCCACCCACATCGTTATCTCATGGACTCCACCCACAGCTCGACCCCATATCTGATGACATCATCTCGTGAAGACCACGAGGTCGAGGACCATTTTGCGAACATATTACAAATATTTTTTTCTTCATGTCAGTGTTTTTTTCACCCCTATCTACACACATTTTTCCGATCCAGTTACTTTACTTTACTTTCCTTTTCCTATCCAGAGCCCCTATTCCTACAATTTAGACCATTTAGGAGGCAGGCTCCCCACCCTGCCAGTCAGGACCAACCCGGGCTGAGAGGGATACAACATCCCAGTAGACAGACCCGGGCTGAGAGGGATACAACATCCCAGCAGACAGACCCGGGCTGAGAGGGATACAACATCCCAGCAGACAGACCCGGGCTGAGAGGGATACAACATCCCAGCAGACAGTCCCGGGCTGAGAGGGATACAACATCCCAGCAGACAGTCCCGGGCTGAGAGGGATACAACATCCCAGTAGACAGACCCGGGTTGAGAGGGATACAACATCCCAGTAGAAAGAGCGAGATACCCAATAACAATTTCCCAGGAAAAGAACTCGGGTCTCCTGCGTGTGACAAAAAGGATCAAAACGCCACGACACAGAAATTGGTTTAGATTTGCCCCACAACACTGTCTTCTACGATATTCTGAAAAGTACCACTTTGTCAGGCTATTGCCAGAATAACCATCAATGTGTACGGCTCTTTCGAGTATCTATCTATATAACTCTAAAGGTCTTGTATTTAAATTCCTGCATGTGGTTGAATGAAGCATCAGATGTGATATGAACATTTTGTCAGCTTTACTTCTCTTTTCATGTTGAATTTTATTCTTAAGGAGAGTAATATATAATTTAAATTTTTATGTATACCTGCATGTGTTTTTACGGTCCTGTACAGCCAACAAAAATGTTCCTCTGTGATAATAAAGTATTATCTTATCTTATTTTGTGACCAGAGTTTGAGATAAAGCATGCCACCAACCAGGAAAATAGTTATGGACAATACAGATGAACTCTAGGCCTTGACTGTTTATTCTAGCACATTCTAAAAGATGCCAGACAGACACTGGGTCTTTCCTGTGTAACATTGTCGTACATTATGCTCAAAAACCAGAATTTCAGTAAACACATCCATGACTGAATGCAAGACTCTGTCAAATGCAAAAATAAAAAATGAGACCAGAGGAATCACAACCATTCTGCAAATCACGCCAAGTTGTATAAATATTAAGAAACTAATTGATTAGAATTAGGAAGAAGTATGCAAGGAGCAACTCTTGAATCATGATTTTTTTTATAAACAACCCAAAAAACTTCAGCTTTAGGGCAAACAAATTCATTTAGTGCGTTTATTTTGAACAGACGAAAATGTTTAGGTCGTTATCCAGAAAAAGATTCTCAAGTGTGAAAATGTTTATAAAGGTTCCCAGTCATTAGAGCCCCAGGTACTTGAGTCATGAAGGGTGAGCAAAGGTAAGCCCTGCCTTAACAAAACACACACAAATCTGAGTAGTAGCCATAACTAGAAATAAATATGAGTAATGTTGTTAAGTGTAGAAATGGGAGTTGTTATATTAGATATGAATATACTCACATTGTATCAAAGGGACACGACCTGTTTTTACAAAGCAATCAGTAACAATGGTCTTTAAAGCAGTAAACCACAAACAACATTTTCCATAAATACTAATACGTCTGAATTAATGGAATGACTACCAAGAACAACAGGCCAGTAATATAAGTTGAATCTATACAGAGTAACAAATAAGGCTTCACAAAGTACAAATGCTGCGGCCAAGAGAGAAGACCGCAAGCTGTGCACATCCACAGGTGGAAATTAAGATTTGAAATGATCAAAATGTGGCCAAATCTTCTCTGCCAAAATAGGTCTCATTGGCCTTTCTTCCATTTCTTTTAAAGAAATATTCTTCTCTGCAGATGCATTGGTCAAAGTCAGTGAGTCAGTTGTTGACAGGCGAACTTTACAATGTTTATTATTACATGAACTTTTAAAAACATGTAACAAAATACACATATGATATGTTTATAAGTTACAAGCCTGACAGTAAGAAAGACAGGAGCCAGCCAGCACAGAACAGTCACCAAAATCTTCTTTTTCAACAGACAATATATCTATACATATTATATTTGTGAAAGTTCCTCACTTTGGCCGCCTAAAACTCCGGAACCACTCAACTTTCGAATTCGAAAAAATTAACGGTGGCTCAGAATCATTTAAAGGGTGCACAGTTTTACTGAGGAGTCTAAAGTCACTGTAGTTTAATTTTCAGTTTTCATTAGTTTCATTTAGATCTATTCTTGGGAAAGTGTGTCTTTATAAGACGCCATTGTAAACAAATGAGACTTCTGTTCACAAAGAGTGCGTGCACTGTTCCACAATGACTTGACGATCGATTCTTTTGAGTCCATTCATCTAACGGGAAACCCAGCTAGTTTATATATATATAGAGAGAGAGAGATAGAGAGATATATATAGATAGATAGATAGATAGATAGATATATATAGATACATATATAGATAGATAGATAGATAGATAGATATAATAGATAGATATATATATATATATATATATAGATAGATATATAGATAGATAGATAGATATAATAGATAGATAGATAGATAGATATAATAGATAGATAGATAGATAGATATGATATATATATATATATATATATAGATAGATAGATAGATATGAGAACCATAGCTCTACATCTAAGACTTTTCTCATGATCAAAACACCACAATGTTATCTCTCTATAGTTACATCAGTCAGGGCTTTCTCGTCCGGCGCTGATTTCGCTCTTGGGAAGGCATTCTCACACTGTGGACAAGGTGAAAGGAAGCACATGATTACAGGGAAGTCACAAAATAAACTTTTTAAATAAGGAACCGAGAAAAATGAGCAAACAAATCACAATCCTGAGTCCCCTTAAGTAATATCAACATGAACATTCCTGTCTTTGGGTAACAACAACTCCCCAATAAAGTAAAAGTGAGAACGAAAAGTCATCCAGCAATATTTCATTTAATCAAACTGAAACTATTTTGGGATTCTATCAATTACAATTGAACGTCCTGTACGGCCAAGGGCCCCTGTATAAGACAATCACCTCCACATACCGACACTTTTCCTTCCCGCCATTGTGGGTTGGTTTTTTACATTATAATGAGGCTGTGTAAGAGCCACTTTTCTTGTCCATAATGGCTGGCCATCTTGGACAAAAATTGACTGTAAACTTTCATAAATGCTTCATGATCTCCTGAACACAGAAGAGGGGAGGCCTTTTCAAATTACGTCGATACAGCGTTTTATCATTACAGACCAAAATGTTTCCTTAATCTTGGCCCAACAGCATCGTCAGTCAGATTCACCGTATGTGAATTGTGAATACAGCACCAGATTATCACTCATTGGGACAATATTGGTGTCTAAGTTACATTAATGTGAAATTACAGACACGTGTTCTGTATATCACCTATAATAAAACAAGCCATTTAAAAAAAATAATGTGGTCCAAAAGTATACGCCCCGTATCATTATATAGATGACACACAGTCAAGATTGAGCCCAACAAAGGGAGAGCAATGCCAAAAAGGATTTTTTATCGAACAAACACCAACATTCTTTACATCTGACCACCGATGGCAACCTTTCCTTCAACTTTGGGCATTTCAAGTCATGCAGGCCAGTCCAAAGGCGAAGAGAGAAGGGTCAGAGGCTGGAATCCAGCCAACTTGTGCTTGATTTCCCACATGTTGAGCCCCATTTTGTTAGAAATCCATCCCATATAATTCATACAACCTACAGAAATGGGTGGATTTCAGAGTAAAAGACCCCCCCCCCCTGTACAAGACATGAGAAGATGTTACAAGCCAGGCCAGTATTCATGGCAGGGCGTACATCAATGTCTCACCTGCACCAAGTCAAACGGAATGTGAGGAATAAAGGGTCTGAACCTGCAACAAGGGGAAACAACAAACAACAGAATCAGGGGACTGAGAACAGAGTTCAAGAGAAAGTACATTTCATGAACACATCAGAACTGATTTATCTTCCATTCTTTCAACAACACAAGTGTACCAACATTTTAGCTTATTTAAAAACTTTAAACATTTTTTTAACTTGAATTTCGATAATATTTCGAGCACATTCAACCTTTACAACAGATTAAGAAACTGCAATTTTTTAAAATCTCAAACTATTGGGTTTACTAATTTCGAACAGCCGGCTGACGATATTTTGTTGCGGAGTTGTAACCTATTGAGGGCAAATTCTGACAGTCCAATAACAAAATCGACATGGAAGCAGCAGACAACACTAGACTACCCACCAACCACCTGCAGGGTATGGGGGCAGTAAATGATGCGAAATGACAAGTGATCAGGAGAAAAATTATTAAAGGCAAACTAAATAGCATAAAATTCAGATCAAAGCATAAATAATCTTGCTGTCCACTTTACAACTTCCTCCCCCCACCTCCTGACTTACGGTCCTGGTCCTCCGAAAGGTCTGACCGGCCGCATGCCTCCCCTCATTCCTCCACGGCCACGCATGTTTGGTCTGAGGAGGAGAACGATTGAAGGAGAAAATCATTTCAATGCAATTGTAGCCTGGGAAATACTATATATAACACGTAGCAGACTTAGAGCCAACAACTACAATTCTGTCCAAAAAAAACAACTTATTAAAACTTTCGCAGTGGCTACGTTCACGGCGCCCTGAAAGTAGTTTGCAAATTATGAATGATCTTGCTCACTTCACCCCTACTCTTTCCCCCTTTTGCTTCTTCAATTCTCCCTTGTTTCTTCGAACGACATTTATTTTCAAATTGTCGAGCGTTGCCGGGTCGGCATACGGGGAGAGGGTCGAAGTCGTGTTCCGCGTGCCGAGCGAGCGAGGCCTTGTCGACAGCGGCTGTTTTGCTGTGCTCACCTTCGCCCTCTGTAAACTCTGTTGCATTCGGACCACCGCTGCATTATTTTCCTCGCGAGTAGGCTATTCCTGTGCTGTTTACTTATTCACATTCACTTTTGAGTTTGAGCTACTGTAACTGTAAGGTTTCAGTTGTGATTCTGTGCCAATGGTGGATGATTCACGGTGCCGTGAACGTAGTCACTGCATAACATTTTTCATTAAATTTCAACCTGTAATCAACTTCTGGTGATTTTTTACTTTTGCACACCGATTCACATTGTTTCTGAGAGTCAAACCGTCATATTTTACACAGCAGAACACACATATGTGGGCATGGCATGATCACTATTTTATTTTTTTTGTAACACACTTAATATTAGTGTAATACAATGTAATTCTAATGAAAACCCATTCAATATTTCTAAAGTTCATAATTTGATATAAATTGAAATTCATGTAAAACGGATAAAAAGTAGCAAGAAAAGCAAGTAAAGCCTACCCATTCCCCTAACCCACTTTAGGCCTAGATCTGTGAAAAGAGCCATTGCCAAGACGTGAGACTCACTTGAGACTCGGTGGTGCAAAAAATGTTTTCCTACCAACTTAACTCTCCCTTTTCTGTCAGTCACAGACTGACATAACATTAGTGCTCATATTCAAGAAGTATCAGAGCAAGGAGATGCAGGGTTTTGGAAATATGGGTCTATTGGTTTGGCAACCACTGTATTTCTTGTACATAACAGTGATGACAAAAACAGATAAGCAGCAAGAAAAAATTATAGACTTAAAATTCCATTTGTTTAGTAAACAAAGACTTT